GGTCAGTGCCCGTCTTGGAGAATGACCGGAGTCCCACTAAATCTGGCTGCCACCCGAAACCGCCAGAGGGCGAGATGGGATGCTGATTGGAAGAATCCAACGCAAACCTCTCCTCTAACTAACTCTATTCCAGCATCTCCCGGAAACCAGGTGAGGGTCTCTTCCTCCCCGACCGGAAGTCACGCTGCCCCGAACAAAGATGGCGGATTGTACAAGTAAAGCTTCGGAGTCTGTCCGGTCCCCAAAGTGGTTTGATTCTCGGCTGCTAAGTGCGGCGGGCGGGGGAGGCGGGGGAGGAGAGGGCTGTGATACCAAAACCAAAATTGGGGCACGGGTCAAGGAGGGAGTGGGCACCGAGAAGACCCCCTGGACCAAGTAGGTTGGGGGCGCCCGGCTTAAGGTCTCGGTTCCGTCCGGAGTAAGGAGCTCACTTTGGGGCCCCGGAAAAGGTGAGAGAAACCGTAAGCCCAGGAATTTCAGGCAGCTCCTGGGTAAGATGCCAAATCTAAGGCATATCCTGTTTCTGTTGCAATGTGTGTTTTCTTACTGTCTGTCCAGCGCTGTCGCCTCACACGTCTTACCCTCTTCCAGTTCCGCCAGGCCTGCCCCGTTCTGATCCATGGCCACGTAACTTCCTCTCCGCTACCTCCTTCCCAGCTCGCTGGGACCCGGCCTCACATTTTGTTGTTAATTCTCACCTGAGGATATTTTTTCCATTGATTTTTAGAGAGAGTGGAAGGGAAGGGAGGGAGAGGGAGAGAGAGAAACAGCTGATGTAGGGAGATTGGTTGCCTCCTGCACACACCCTACCAGGGCCGGGGTGGAACCTGCAACCCAGGGATGTGCCCTTGACGGGGAATCAAACCTGCGACCCTTGGATGCACAGCCGGGCTCTCTAACCACTGAGCGCACCGGCCAGGGCTAGACCTCATATTTTCTCAGCCTCTTTCCCTTGGGTTTAGCTAAAAATCTGGAGGGCCCTACCCGGTTTGGCTCAGTGGATAGAGCGGCGGCCTGTGGACTGAAGGGTCCCGGGTTTGATTCCCTTTAAGGGTACATGCCCGGGTTGCGGGCTCAGTCCCCAGTAGGGGGCGTGCAGGAGGCAGCCAGTCAATGATTCTCGTTCATCATTGATGTTTCTATTTCTCTCTCCCTCTCCCTTCCTCTCTGACATCAATAAAAACATATTAAAAAGGAAAAGAAAACTTATAAATAAATAATTATCTGGAGGGAGAACGGCCCAAGGTCAGTTGGAGCACACACGGAAAGGGCCTTATTTACCAGTAATTCTAACTACCAAGTCTGCCCTTAAGTTGCAGGGAATAATGCCTTGGGTCCATCTCACCAGGGTCAAACAGGCGATGGGCCCAGAACCTGAGGCTACCCAGAACCCACGCTACTCCTGCGATTGAGCCTGTATCAGACCTCAAGCCGCTGTTCTGCAGGAATACCCACCAGGATATTAGCCACTCCTGCCTCACGAGCGGGCTCCAGCCCTAAGACTTCAGCCCTTCCTGTGCTGTACCTGAAAGAGAGAATCCCATCGGTTGCTATGCTGCCGAGACATACCTGGAGTTCTTAGGGCTCCTCCTTCTCCTGTCCTGTTTTCCACCAGCCAGTTTTGCTCTCCTGCCTTGGGAGAGCAGTAGTTTGGTTAACATCCCCCAGATAGCCGCAGAAGGAAAAATAAAACATTGCTGGGTATGTCATCAACATCCCCAGACATCCCCTTCTCAGCCAGGAGCTCCAGGTAACCCCAATCTCAATCTGACCTCTGTCCCATAGGCTCCACCCTGCCCACCCACATCTGTCCGATTGGACTAAGATGTGTAAACTTTGATGTGTAAACCTTACAGGTCAGGGGCCCTAGGCTAGCCTTTCCTTAAATTGCCCAAGGAAGGCCTTCCCCTGGACCCCTTGCACACCATCGACCGCCACCAGACTGGGTATGCCCCATGGCTGCACAGTCTCCTATATACCCCAAACAATTTTCCAGCCCACCGGTGTGGCTTAGAGTGTTGACCTATGAACCAGGAGGTCATGGTTCGATTCCCGGTCAGGGCACATGTCCTCGTTGCGGGCTTAGCCCCCAGTAGGAACCGTGCAGGAGATGGCTGGTCAATGATTCTCTCTCATCATTGATGATTCTATCTCACCCTCTCCCTCTCTGAAATGACATATATGAAGATTATCAAGGGAAAGGATTCACGTTCAGCCAAAAGAAGTTATGGATGGCTGACCTTCGACCCTCAGCACCCCTCAAGAATGAGTGAAAATAAGAAAGAGGAAAATCAGATCTATTTAACCTAGCTGAGTCCCTACCCCACCCTAACTCTATGCTTATCTTTGAGAACAGGAAGGCCTGCAGTTAATAGTTCCTTCGCAAGAACGAACTAGTTAAAATGAGCTCAATGGGGGGAAACACTGTATAGTGAAGATTGTTTAACCACGATGCTGTAAACCTGAAACTAAAAATACAAAACAATACTGAATGTAAACTGTAATTGAGGAGGGGAAAAAAATTCATCTAAGAGAAGGTGGCTGCCAAAGTGACCTGCAGAGACCAGAAATCTGATAAAGTCCAATCTGACACGCCTGCAGGTGCCATGATAATGGACAGTCACCATGACAACGATGGAAGGAACCACAAAAAGACAGAAAAAAGGCAGAATCTGGAAAAACCATTCATACCACCCCCCCCCTCCCCACCCCCCTCTAAATATTTCCTTCCTGGATCCTGGGAGAAGCCGGTTTGAGAGCTAAGCTATTGCTTTTTAATTGAATAAAGTTTGCACTGTTAATGCTTTCGGTCTCTTACTGGCTTCATAACACAAAGGGAAAAAGAACCCAGCTTGGGGTCCTCGAAAAGAGGACTTTCACCCCTCAGGTAACAGTTTCACTTCATTTATTTACAGAAGATACCGAAGAGCCCAGCTTGAAGGCAGTGACCAGGCCAAAGCGTTGCCTGGCAACCACCAAGTGGGTAAATTGATAAACAGCTGTGCTCTGCTCAAAGGTGGCCTTGGTGCCAAGGTGCTGCCTAGCAACCGCCCATCAGCCTAATCTCCATCCGAAAGCTGTAAACAGCTCAAATATAGCCTCGCGAGGAATCTCTATAGCACCCTTCCTTAGAGCAAAACGGAGAAAAACACCATCTCCTTCCTCCCCCTCAAGGATGGTTTGGTCCAGCGAGTGTTGCCTAGTAACCACCAAATGAGATGGTTGTTTTTGTTAGGAGAAAAAGGAAGATGAGATCCCGTCACAGAATCACAAACATATTTCTGTGATGAATTTATAGGATCGTGTGTCGTGCAGAATGTGCAAACACTCCTCCCCAAATCCTTTCTCCAAAGTAAAAAGTTGACAGTTTAACAAAATAACACGTTTTCACAAATACGATCACTGTGCTAATGCTGATCTGAGTCCTGAGCCTTTGCTTCTATTTCTGCAGATGGTCAGGAGTATCACCAATCTGGAACGAATTCAGCTGCCCTGGAAGAAGGCCCTTAGTGGGAGAATCAATCTTTTTTTTTTTTAAAAATTTATTTTTATTTATTTATTAAAATATATTTTATTGATTTTTTACAGAGAGGAAGGGAGAGAGATAGAGAGTTAGAAACATCGATGAGAGAGGAACATCGATCAGCCGCCTCCTGCACATCTCCCACTGGGGATGTGCCCGCAACCCAGGCACATGCCCCTGACCGGAATCGAACCCGGGACCTCTCAGTCCGCAAGCCGACGCTCTATCCACCGAGCCAAACCGGTTTCGGCAAATATATTTTTATTGATTTCAGAAAGGAAGGGAGAAGAAGATAGGAACATGAACGATAAGAATCCGTGACGGGCTGCCTCCTGCACGCCCCCTACTGGGGATTGAGCCGAAACCCGGGCATGTGCCCTTGACTGAAATTGAACCCGACGACACTCTATCCACTGAGCCAAACCAGCTAAGGTGGGAGAACCAACCTTAAGTTTTCCAGTTCACAGCTGCCTCAGGCTCTTGGTAACTCCAGTGTAGCCTCCTACCTCCAGCAGACAATTCTACTCCAACCTCTCGCTTTTTAAAAAATTAATTTCTGGTTCGCTGTCTTTTTTTGGGGGGAGGGTAGGATTCTTGAAGAACACCAGTTTAAAATCATTCATTCAACCAGTCTTACATTTACCTTATCTAAGTAAAAGTTTTCTTATAGTTAAGAGGGCAGATTTTGATTTTAGGTACCATTTTAATCTTTTTTTTTTACCTGTGGATCATTTTTCCTTTCTCCATTTTCCTTTTTAAAATCTTGTAATTTTATTAAAAATTGAATCACACTGGCATAAAAAGGAGGAGCCCAATTTAGATGAAAATTGAGATGTAATGTCTATGCGTTTAGTCTTTGGATCTTGATGCAAATACAGCAATTTAAAAAATATATATTTTGAGATAATTGAGGAAATTCGAGGAAACTAAGAAATAATATTGTTAGGGTCTGATAAAGGCGAAGTGGTCATGTTAAAAAAATACAGCTCTTAGAGATGGCAGTTAAGCATGTAGAGGTAAAATGTGATGTTGGGGACTTAAAAGGCTTCAGGAAAGAAAATATAAAAGAAGGAATGGATGACATAAATGTGACAAAACAGCGATCCCACGACGTGCAAAGGATAGGCACCATTTTCACAAATATTTACAATCTGCATTGGAACAAGCTGACCTGATTGACACCTGCACTGGGCCATGTCTGAACCCTCTGGTTACACCAGCCCCGTGGACATCACTCTTTCCAGGGTGAATTAACGCGACAAAGTAAAATGCTCTGTCATTGCACTTTCCATTAGCCCTTTTTACATGAACAGTTTTTTTTTATTTGCTATTTTACTTTGTGTGAGAAAAGCCTGCTTATGATCCTTCCCATGAAAAAATAAAATATTTCTGTTTTCCTAAGTTTTTATTTATTGGTAAATGTATTTATGTAGTACATTTCTGTCAACACGTAAGTGACACTGGTCGTATTTTTCCCCCCCAACTTGCTTTAGGGAGTCTTTTGCGAACAAATCAGTATTTTACGTTTTCTGGCTTTGCTGTAACGGCAAGACACTCTCCCCAAGTCTTCAGGATTATGTAGTGTGTTTCTTTATTCCTTCAGATATTTTTTATGGTTTCACTCGTTGCATTTACAGTTTTTATTCACCTGGAATGTACTTAGGTGCTAGGCCAGCGTCTGGCCCCGCTCCCAGAAGACAACTCTCAAGTGTTGCCTGGCAACCTCCTCTCGGGTTGGAGTTTGGCTTCCGGTGGTTGGGGGTGGGGCGTGGAAAAACGAAACAGCTGCAAAGCCTTCCGAGTTACGGCAACCTCAAAGCGTTGCCAAATCACCCCCATCTCCCTGCTCCAGAAAGAACTTCACTGAAAACCTGTGTTAGAAAAAAAAAAAAAGGACAGCGTGAGCGTTGCATAGCAACTAGGTCTTCAGCCCCTTCCTTTGAGACTAGAGTCGGGACTAGAGCCCGCTCAAAGATGACGGCCGACGGTGCCGCTTTCCATGTATTCCGCTCCCAACAGTCCTACCAATGACTCATTCTTTCACATCAGGCCCCAGAGGCGTTCGCTATGCCCTTTCTGAGTCTTGCACCCGGTGGGTGAGAGCGGAGGAGGTAATAGGACCGACGCGCCCCGGGTGCCCCGCACTAAGGCAGCGCGCGCGTCCCCAGCGGCGCACAGCCTTCCGGCGCGGGTGCCCGAGCAGCGCAGGCTCACAGCCTTCCGGCGCGGGTGCCCGAGCAGCGCAGGCGCACAGGTTTTCGGGGCGGGTGCACGCGCAGCGCAGGCGCACAGCCTTCCGGCGCGGGTGCACGCGCAGCGCAGGCGCACAGGTTTTCGGCGCGGGTGCACGCGCAGCGCAGGCGCACAGCCTTTCAGTGCGAGTGCACGCGCAGCGCAGGCGCACTTCCGCTCAGCTCGCGGAGGCTTCTGCCGCGGTGGCGACTAGCTCGCGGGGCATGGTCCCCGGGTCCGAGGGCCCGGCTCGCGCCGGGGGCCTGGTAGCTGACGTGGTGTTTGTGATTGAGGGCACCGCCAACCTGGGGCCCTACTTCGAGGGGCTCCGCAAGCACTACCTGCTCCCGGCCATCGAGTGAGTCCCATTTGCACAACTCCAGCCCCGCCCTCCGACTTTCGTTTTTCCGCAGCCTCTTGCCTGACCCCGAACTTTTCATCTCCGACTCTCACAGGTATTTTAATGGTGGTCCTCCCGCCGAGACGGACTTCGGGGGAGACGTGAGTCTTGGGACGCTTGAGACTGTGGGAGGAGGGGATGGAGTCCGGACCCCTGGGTCTGAGGGAGGAGGGTCAGGGGGTCTGGGCTCCTGGGTCTGAGGGAGGAGGGGCTGGGGGCCTGGGCTCCTGGGTCTGAGGGAGGAGGGGATGGAGTCTGGACCCCTGGGTCTGAGGGAGGAGGGTCAGGAGGTCTGGGCTCCTGGGTCTGAGGGAGGAGGGGCTGGGGGCCTGGACTCCTGGGTCTGAGGGAGGAGGGGCTGGAGTCTGGACCCCTGGGTCTGAGGGAGGAGGGGCAGGGGGCCTGGGCTCCTGGGTCTGAGGGAGGAGGGGCTGGGGGCCTGGACCCCTGGGTCTGAGGGAGGAGGGGATGGAGTCTGGACCCCTGGGTCTGAGGGAGGAGGGTCAGGGGGTCTGGGCTCCTGGGTCTGAGAGAGGAGGGGTTGGGGGCCTGGGCCCCTGGGTCTGAGGGAGGAGGGGATGGAGTCCGAACCCCTGGGTCTGAGGGAGGAGGGTCAGGGGGTCTGGGCTCCTGGGTCTGAGGGAGGAGGGGCTGGGGGCCTGGGCTCCTGGGTCTGAGGGAGGAGGGTCAGGGGGTCTGGGCTCCTGGGTCTGAGGGAGGAGGGTCAGGAGGTCTGGGCTCCTGGGTCTGAGGGAGGAGGGTCAGGGGGTCTGGGCTCCTGGGTCTGAGGGAGGAGGGGCTGGAGTCCGGACCCCTGGGTCTGAGGGAGGAGGGTCAGGGGGTCTGGGCTCCTGGGTCTGAGGGAGGAGGGGCTGGGGGCCTGGGCTCCAGGGTCTGAGGGAGGAGGGGCTGGGGGCCTGGACCCCCGGGTCTGAGGGAGGAGGGGTTGGGTGCCTGGACCCCCGGGTCTGAGGGAGGAGGGGCTGGGGGCCTGGGCTCCTGGGTCTGAGGGAGGAGGGGCTGGGGGCCTGGGCTCCTGGGTCTGAGGGAGGAGGGTCAGGGGGTCTGGGCTCCCAGGTCTGAGGGAGGAGGGGTTGGGTGCCTGGACCCCCGGGTCTGAGGGAGGAGGGGCTGGGGGCCTGGGCTCCTGGGTCTGAGGGAGGAGGGTCAGGGGGTCTGGGCTCCCAGGTCTGAGGGAGGAGGGGTTGGGTGCCTGGACCCCCGGGTCTGAGGGAGGAGGGGCCGGGAGCCACTACTTGCTCTCTGAGACAGCTGAGCTCCCTGCCCCCCTCCCAGTATGGGGGGACCCAGTACAGCCTCGTGGTGTTCAACACGGTGGACTGCGCTCCCGAGTCCTACGTGCAGTGTCACGCTCCCACCAGCAGCGCCTATGAGTTCGTCACCTGGCTCGATGGCATTAAGTGAGCTTCCCCCTGTGCTGGGGGTGGGTTGGGGGGCCCTGTGAGGGGCCGTGGGCGGATGGAGGCCGGCGTCACCCCGGGTGGCTGAAGGGCCTGGGGTTGGGGGGAGCGGGGGATTGTGTTTTTGTTCATCAGTCACTTCTGGGATGGGCTCTGTGTGCTCCGCGATGCTGCCATTGGGTTGGGAGGTAGAAACGCCTGCTCCAGGCGGCCTTGAGCTCAGCACCGCCTTGGTCCTCCATGCGTGATTCTCCACTCTCTGTCCGCGGTTCCTCATCTCTACCCCAGTCCCCCTTTTCCAGGGCTCACCGAGGCCCGAGTGCAGGGGGCAGGGGACCGGGCCTGGATGGATCCCTCTGGGCTTTGCACGGAATGTCGTCAGTTAACGTTGCAGACTCTTGCAGGTGCACACAGCCTGGAGCCAGATCACAGCAGTCCCAGACCCAGGGCCCCCTGTCCTCTCTGTGCCCAATATAACTTACCCTTCAGGGGTGTGTGTGCTAATCAGACAGACGGTTCCTGACTTAAGATTTTTCCAACTTTGTGATGGTGCACAAGCGATAGGCATTCAATGCAAACCGGCCAGGTAAAGCTCTGTGTCCGGGAGGTTAAATGCATTTTGTTTTTTGTTGTTTTTAAATATATTTTTATTGATTTTTTTTTACAGAGAGGAAGGGAGAGGGATAGAGAGTTAGAAACATCGATGAGAGGGAAACATCGATCAGCTGCCTCCTGCACACCTCCTACTGGGGATGTGCCCACAACCAAGGCACATGCCCTTGACCCGAATCGAACCCGGGACCCTTCAGTCCGCAGGCCCACGCTCTATCTACTGAGCCAAACCGGTCAGGGCAGTTAAATGCATTTTGAACTTGTGATATTTTCAGCTGACGATGGGTTTCCTTGGGTGTACGTTCAGGAGCATCTGTACTTGTATTCGTCAGTTGTTGCATTGCTTATCCGTTGACACATAAGAGGTTACCCCAAGACTCAGTGGCTTAAAAACAAGCATATATTATCTCATGCGGTTTCTGTAAGGCAGGGGTCCTCAAACTTTTTACACAGGGGGCCAGTTCACTGTCCCTCAGACCGTTGGAGGGCCGGACTATAGTTTAAAAAAAAAAACTGTGAACAAATTCCTATGCACACTGCACAAATCTTATTTTGAAGTAAGAAAACAAAACGGGGACAAATACAATATTTGTATTTGCATGTGGCCCGCGGGCCGTAGTCTGAGGCCCCTGCTGTAAGGCATTCGCGAGCAGCTTAGCTGGGTATCTCTTGCTCAGGCTCTCTCTCATGACGGTGCAGTCACCAGAGGTTTGACTGGTTCTCAGAGGATCATTTCCCAGGTGGCTCCTGCTGTGACTGTCGGCGGGGGGGGCCACCGCCTTCCTGGCTGTTGGCCACCAGGGCTCCCGTTGGGGCCGCGTGAGTGTCCGCCCAACACGGCAGCTGGCTTTCCTCAAACGGAGCCATCCACCAGAAAGAGCAAAGAGGAAGCCACAGGCTTTTAAAAATCAAGTCTTGGAAGCCATACATCCTCACTTCTGCCGCATTCTGTCTGATGCACAGTCAGCTGTAGTCAGTGTTTGAGGGGTGGGCATACTAAGGGGTGAGGAGCAGGAGGTGGCGATCACCGGGGCCTGGCTCCCATGCCTTCATAGGGGTGCATTGGGGAGGAGATGAGTGAGTGATTTACAGAGAGGAAGTGAGAGGGATAGAGAGTTAGGAACATCGATGAGAGAGAGACATCGATCAGCCGCCTCCTGCACACCCCCTACTGGGGATGTGCCCGCAACCCAGGTACATGCCCTTGACCGGAATCGAACCTGGGACCCTTGAGTCCGCAGGCCGACGCTCTATCCACTGAGCCGAACCGGTTAGGGAGTGAGTGGGTGATTTAAATCAGTGCCTGGCATGGATCCAGTGCTACCTGAGTGTTTGCTGTTACTTTGTGTCTCAGTTTCTCGGTTTGCAAGTGGATGGCGGTAGCCCAGTGTTGCTGGGAGGGTCACAGGAGCTGGTCTTCGTCCTGTGTGAAGTCAGGTCTGGTCAGTGGTCAGAGCCCTTTCATTCCGTTCCTTCAGCAATTGTTCGCTTTGTTCCGGGCTGTGTGCTGGCCTGGGTGCCGGAGGTTCCGTGGGCAGGTGACGCCTGCTTTTCCCTCATGGCCATTAGAATTCGTGGTCAGGGGAGAGCAGGGTTTCTCCGCCTCTGCGCTGTTGGTGCAGATCCTTGGCCTCTACCCACCAAATGTCAGCAGCCACTTCCCTCCAAATGGTGACAAACCAGAATGTCTTCAGACACCGTGAAATGTCCCTGCGGGTAGAACCAACCCCGGTTGGGAACAGCTGGGATAGACTGTGGTGGATAAGACATGAACAGCGTTCAGTGGGGTTCCTCAGGGCCTGAGTCCAAGTGTGATGTCCCTCAGTTTCTAGCACCCAGTCCGGGAGGCCTGGCGCAAAGGGGCCGGAGGAAAGCCTGATGGAACAAGTGGGTGAATGAACTACTGCCCAGAAGGCACTTCATACTCGGACTCTCCCTGGCAAACTTTATGGGCTTCCAGACCCACCTTCAGCGCCCGCCCCTGATTCTGACGAGCAGCCAGCTGCTCCCTCTTTTGCCCCCATGACTTCAAGGTGCTCACTTGTCACAGCCCCACACCCTCCTTTGGGTTGTGCATGTCCAGGACCCTGGGTGTTGGCTTCCAGCTGGGGCCTGGCACCCAAGCGGGGGCAGGAAGTCTCGGCTGAATAAATGAGTGAGTGAAAGCAATAGGGAGGACAATCACCACAAACCACATCTTCTGGTGGGGGTTTAAGTATCGGGAAAAGCAGTCAAACCCCCTGAATTAAAAACTTCAAGGGCACTAGGAAGCTAAGAGAGAAATGTTTTCTTTATATATATAAATAGACATTTTTTATCGATTGATTTTTTTTATTTTTAAAGCTTTATTGATTGATTGACTTTAGAGAGAGAGGAAGGGAGAGAGAGACAGACACACTGATGTGTTGTTCCACTTTTTTTTAAAAAAATGTTTTTATTGATTTCAGAGAGGAAAGGAGAGGGAGAGAGAGATAGAAACATCAGTGATGAGAGAGAATCCTTGATTGGCTGCCTCCCGCACGTCCCCCTACTGGGGATCGAGCCTGCAACCCAGGCATGTGCCCTTGACTGGAATCGAACCCA